CATTCCGTGGATGTTTTGCGTGACCGTGGGCGTCAGAACCAGGTCGGCAGAGAGTCTAGCCGACTTTTGCGAGTGCAGGAACACCCCGCCCACGTTGGCCACACACGAACTGAGCGCCGAATCGTCGATCCACGGGTGCTCGGTACTGGGCATTGGCTGCCAAAGCCCCAGATCCAGGTTCTCCTTGTTGTGAGCGACCATATCGTTAGCTGCCTTTCTGTCAAACTGATTCTCGCCGTAAACCAGCTGTGTCAGTATCTGCGCAACAAACTCGCTGTCTAAATTGAGCTTTCCGAGCAGCTCGGCACGACCATGGTCAGAGTACGCGCTGACAAGGCATAGGCACTCGCACGCCAACAGGCGGATCATCTGCGGGTATTCGGGCGCCATCAGCGCTGTAAGTGGCGTGGCCCAGTCCCACGAATCAATGCCGCTAATCACCTCAGGCAGCCGGCGGAGCAGCCGGAACACCACCACCAGGCTCTGCTGGATCGTGCTGGTATTCTGTGAAGCTGCGCCGTGATCAAGTATGCTGGCCGCTGTGGAATTCTGAAAGTACGCCATCACCAAACTACGTTAACCGGCAAAAGTTTTTAGTTGCATGTCCGCTTTGCGACACATGTCGCCGAAATCGCCACTTACCTCTTTACTTGCGGAGTGGTTGCCAGAAGAATGCCAGCAGCATATGCAACGCACAGCTGTGCTTGCTGCTTATCCATGTGCGTCGAGATCTGGTGGAACACCGACACCGGTGCCTCTGCCAGCGTCCACCGCGCTACCAGGTCGACCAGAATTGGCCTAAACACCATTGCCACCAGGATCGTGAACTGTCCGTCTGTCCACTCGACGCTCTCACCCAGACGCACGCTGTCCATCGATGCTCCCTCCACCAACAGCAGTGCAGAGATCACATTCAATATCTGTGGCACCGAGTCCTTGCTCGGGGCATTCGCCCATGTGCGCAGCTTTTGCAGTAGCGTTTGGCCCAGCTCCGGTGCCCCCTGGCTGTCTACTAGCGCACAAAGCTGCCGGATGGCCTTGGGCAGGTCGGCGCTGAGCGGATCAACGTCCACTACTTGAATGCACGAGTCAATGGTGGGCTTTCTGGCGTCAGCAGCCTCGCTGGGATGCTCGTCTGTGTCCATCGCTGTATCATCGCCATCAGCAGTTGCGCCGTGTGCAGCAATGGTCAGCTTCTCGATCCCATGCTCGACCATGTTCACGCCGCGTGCGGGTTGGTCTTTGATAACTGCCATTGTTCAGTTGAGGCAATTGCAGTATTTTTTTGGTTGACTTTAGAAAGTAGTGTAAAATGAAATAAAAGCGCATGCAGCCAGGCCAGGGCTCAAACTTTTTTTTTTTTCTCGCTACCATTTTTTCTGGCCGCACCGATCTGTGTTAATTTTTCCATCCTCAGCAGAGTTGATCTGTTGAGCCAATCCAGTGATTCCCTCTCGATAGAATAGGCCATTCAATTCCACGCAAATGCAATAAACACGCACCTTTTTTTTTTTTTTCATTCCTCGTCACCATACCCTCTAGTCTATATTTTCGCGTGTTCAATTATGTCAGCTGCCGCCACCGCCGACCCGCTCAAACTGCTGCGCGACTACACAATTCAGCACAAGAGCGTTGAATTCCTCGACAAAGATGGCAATCCAACCAAAGAGCTGCTACAAGCCGAGACCGTCAGGTTCGGCGAAGACGCGTCATTTCCACGCGACACGCCGACCAGCTACGCCCGCGGCAACAACGAATCAGATCAATACACTCTCTCGGCGCTCCTGCACTTTCTGGACCACCGCGAGCAGAGCTTTTATGAGTACATGAAAACAGCGAACTCGGTGGGCCTGCAAACAGTGTCATTTAGCGACCGTATCAATCTGCTAAACTACTTGACCGGAAAAGACATCGGAGACGGCACAGGCTGCAGAGAGCACAGCGCATGCAGGCAGCAAGCACGCAGCAGAGGACTCCAGCACTGGCGATGGCAGGCGCAAACGGCCCAAGACTGCTGCGGGCAGCGACGATACAGGCAGTGGTACGGCAGCTAACGATCTGGCGAGGGATATTATAAGGCGCGAGCGGCTTATCGTCACCACGTCGTCGGCGCTAAGCAGCAACAAGAGCTTTGCGCGCGTGCCAGACCTGATCAAGGAGGTGTTTCCGTCGAAGCAGCTGGGCGCCAACGGTACCGGCAGCAAATCACACAGCGCTGGAACGCGCAAGCACGGCGCCAGTCGCAAGCGCCGTGACCCGATCATTGTCGTTCCCGCAGCCACCACAGCCATGTTCAACATGTACAACATCAAGGATCTGCTGCAGGATCACAAGTTTGTCGAAAGCCGCGAAGTCATGGAGAAGGGCGGGCCCAAGCCGCGCGAAGTGCACATCGAGCACACTTTGGCTGATGGCTCGCAGATGCGCTTCAGGGTAATTGATTCGGTGCAGGACTTTACCGACAATGACTGGGGCAGCGATCGTCTGCGTATTCACCCAGGGCGCTGCCTGGCAGTTCAAGAATTGGACGTGGAAGTCGCCAGAAGAGGTCTTCAAGAACTGCCTTGGGTTCTATCCAAAGTACCAGGACGAGCGGCCAAAGGACTCGACGCGTACATGGGGCATCAACATGCTCAACATTGAGCGGTCCAAGCGCCATACGGACCGTGCGACCGTAGTCGGTCTGTGGAATTCGATCGAGCAGCACATGCAGACACACAAGACAGAGTTCTAAACAAAAAATGCAAGTGTTTTTGTCATAGTAAGACTAGTTCGCTATCATTGACGATGGAGCGCGCATCCACACCGGCGACCTGCACGATGTGGTCAATATGGTATCCGATGATGCTATGAAAGCGGAACGCAGCCTTGTCGTTCTCCGTGCCCGAGAGCGTTGCCTGCTTGCTGGTGTAGTACATCCCAGAGATCCCGGCCAGCGTCACCTTTGGCGGTTCGCCTTTTGCGTTGCTCAAAGCATAGCCGATGATGGGGTCACCGCCCAGAGCATCGGCGTACACGTACTGGTTTTGGACAGGCTGTGTGCACATCAGGTGCCGGCTTGCGTAGTCAGCAACGGCTAGCCTGCACGCATCGCCTCTGCCTTGCGTAACAATCAGCATTGGTCCATCAGTCGTGTCGGTGGTGTTGAAAAGCGTCAACGAGGTACCATCTGGGATTGGCACTTTGGATGACACGGAGATGGTCTTGATGTTATTGCCATCGACTGCCAGCGGCATCTGCAGCTTGATGACTGCCATATTTGTATCATCGTTGATATCGATATGGCTAAGCCGATTGCCCGTCAGATTGCCGCTAATGTTCTGCATGTATCGGTCAATGCTGCCTGCAGTGACCAGCCAGCTGCCAGCACCGTGCCTGGCTGCAACATCTGCACTATCGACACAGACTGCACTGGTCACCAGCACGCTGTCTGTGATTATTGTTGCCGAGCACCGGCGGTACGCTACTCCGGATGTGGTCACCCAGAACAGGCCGGCAATGAATCTGGCACTTGTGAGCTTCTGCATGGCCGCTGGGTTGGTGGTGCCTATAGTTTCCCCGCCCAGCGGTGTCATACGGATGGGGCGAGCAGGGACAGCGGCACCGTATGTGAAATGGAGGCATGCAAATGCAGCTGTAGCAAGTATGAGTGAAAAATGCATGACAATGAAAGCAGACGTCAGGAAAATGTCGGGAAAATGTGCAAAACCAGAGCTGGTGTCGAGAACCAAGGGCAGGCGCATTTATAGCAGCCCGCCGCTGACCGTTTCCCACATACAGCTTTATTAAACGGCATGCAAGACTAGAGATTACCAATGCAGACTTTGTGACTAAGCATTTGGATATTGAATGTCCTTTTTAGCGAGCTGCAAAATGAGACTTTCCTGATGCCATCAAAGCGCCGTGTTCACAATACACAATCCCTATTCACCCACTCGGCCCAAACGAATTTCTTGCATATCGAGGCAGACGTTAGCATAGTCGACGATGCGTTGAGAGCAAAGGAAAATTTTTCTCCAAGCCTGCCTCCCCCAACCCTTGTTTTCCTTAACAAAAATTTTCAACTTTTCGTATTGAACTTCAGCCAAAAAATCGGCGCAAACAAACATCTTTTTCCCCTCTCCATCGTCTCCGATAACCAAAACCTTTTCCACCGTACTTTTTCTTTTGTCGCCATGTCGTCCAGAACACCGAGTCCCGTGTCATCAACGCTCCCGTCCAGAAGGTGTGGTCCGCTCTGCGTGCCCAGGATTTCAAGTTCTGGTCGCTGGTCAAGACCGTCGAGCAGACCGCCTCTGCTACCGAGGTCGGCAGCACCCGCAAGGTGACTTTCACCGACGGCACCGTCCAGGACTACCGTCTGGTTGAGTTCTCCGAGCTGCACAACACCCTGACCTACGAGATCGTCGACTCGGAGCCCGCCGTCCCCGTGCTCTCTGCCCAGCACACCATCCGTGTGTTCCGCGTGTCGGCCGATGACTCGACCTTTGTCCAGTGGTCGTCTGATTTCAGCTCGGTGGGCTCGGAGGCCGCCGTCGCTGACTCCAAGTACAAGAAGCTGGAGGCCCTGGCTGATCTGGCTAAGGCTCTGGAGAACTAAGCACACCACCTGCTTGCCAACACTAATATCAAATATATAAACCATCAAAATCCCTAGTGCTGTATTTGCCAAGTGCTGTCACTTTGCCAAGCGACGCCTGCAGTAGGGCGGTACTCTGGCAGCATTACATTCTACCTGGCCAGGCTGAAAAACAAGAGGCTGGGATCTATTTTTAACCTGCATGTGGGTGACACCTATACCCGCTTGTAGCAGTACTATGTCTCTAGTAGCTGGCCGCACCGACACTGGCATCATGTAACAATATTTACCCGTCTATTTCCATTGCATCCTGTCCCCATGCTGATGTGAAAACACCCAATATCTCTAGAATATGCTGAAATTGACTCTCATCCTCCTCCCCATATTTGCCCTGCTTGTTCATGCAAGTGAGCAATTGCGCATGGCAATTACGATGCTCAGTTTGAATGTGTACTTGGTCAGTGGCCAGATCAGCAGCGTAACTTGCGCACCAAGCTTGATAAGATATATCCCACGCTCAGCAAAGACGACAAGGCTATTTACCATATGATTGTTGGATACTTTGACGATTTGATCCCTAACCCAACCAAGGGGCACATCGAGAGGGCGCTCGGAATGGTGGGCAATTCGACGGCCAAGGCGATGTTCCCGACATGCAAACTCTAAGCAGCTTTACATAATATTAGCCATTTTAAATATACGGTGTAGACCAAGCACATGACAATCGGCGGGGTTTGAATTCATCCATAACCGCTGTAGATTGCAAGAAAATCAGAGACCCGAGCGGCCTGGGTGTCAAACATGGCTTGCAAGGTCGTTTTGGAAATAATTTTTGCACTCCTTCACTTTATGAACCACTTGCGCACGCAACTAACCAGGCAAGGCATGAAACTGATCGACATTGGAGCCAACCTCGCAGACCCCGTGTTCCGCGGGCTCTACCGGGGCAAACAGTCGCATCCGGACGACATGCAGCAGATATTGGACCGGGCAAGGACAGCTGGAGTTGTCGCCATGATGGTTACAGGTGGAAACCTCCACGAGAGCAAAGAAGCGATTGCACTGGCGCGCGAGTTCCCTGGTCTCTATGCAACCGTTGGATGTCACCCAACACGGACCAGCGAGGTCGACAAGCATAGCGCAGGAGCCGATGCGTATTTTGCAGAGCTGCAAGACCTTGCTGAGAAGAACCGCGATAAGGTGGTGGCTATCGGTGAATGTGGGCTAGACTATGACCGCCTGCATTTCTCGGACAAGGAACCACAGCACAAGTATTTTGCACGTCAATTTGCGCTGGCTGAAGCTACCAAGCTGCCTATGTTTCTGCACAACCGCAATACGGGAGGCGACTTTGCCAAGATGATTAAGGAGAACCGGCACAGGTTCTCGACAGGTGTTGTCCACTCGTATACTGGCCCAATCGACGAAGCCAAAGAGCTGCTTGAAATGGGCTTGTACATTGGCCTCAATGGCTGCTCGTTCAAGACCGAGGAGAACCTGGAAGTCGCCAAGCAGATTCCAGTAGACCGGCTGATGATCGAAACTGACTGCCCGTATTGTGAAATTAGACCGACCCATGCGAGTCACAAATTGCTGAAGCCTGAGAGCTCTGACGGTTGGAAGGCACCTGAGGCGAAGAAGAAGGAGCGGTGGACTCCCGAGTGCATGGTCAAAAGCCGCAATGAGCCGTGCATGATACGCCAGGTTCTCCAGGTTCTTGCATCGCTGCATGGCATTAGCGAGCAGGATCTTGCTGACCAGGTGTTTGAGAACACGCGCAAAGTGTTCTTCCCTGATCAGGATATCTAGAAACGATATTACTTTACTATGGTTGATGGGAACCTTTAAAGTATACCTATTTGCCTTAACTATTAGTACGATATCGGTTTGTCCTTTGCATTAACTTCAGCTACCTTGATTACATATCGTTATCATTCCTGGGATTGAATAGATATAGATAGCTCCGTTAGACTTTACCTCTTTCAGCCACGCAAGATGCTGATACTCAGCCCTTCTGTGTTGCTGTTTGCCCATACCAACTGGAGAAGGAGCCAATGTAACGAATGTGCTTATCCGACCTGAAAATTGCCAAATCTGGCACTGCTGATTCAAATAAGGCAGTATCGAAACACTTGTACAGCGATATCAACTGTTGTCAATACGACAGCCCGAATCCACTGTGTCTCTCTATGCTATATTCTAATGCCGGCAGCGTTGATTGTGGCAGTGTCTCGCATCGCGGTGAATGGCTATCAAAAAGCGGCCATGTAATTTCTCGGCACCTTGAATGGTTTCACTTACTACCCTCCCATGTGATTTTGCAGCTAGGCAATGTCTACGCACACTGAATTCTGTAGGCGCCATGCGGAAAAGGAATCACTTTGTCAAATAGAGAACTAGTTCAGACCCAAACCTGGTGTATAAGGGGCATCCTCCATTGTCAAGTGCTGGACATCTTAGGCTATCATGTAGTTTTATGAAACACTTCTATGCAGCTCACCACGTGTTTGAAGTGTACATGGCATACTTATTATCTGTGTCTCGCGATATCCATTGAAAACTATGCAATATATCCGATTACAGATTATTCGAAAACTACACTTGCAACTACTGACGTGCTGAACCTTGCTATTCCTCTAGTCTATACGCAGGGTAGCGCTGCCAGAAACCGTCTGCTGTCTTGAATAGGCTCTTGATATATCTATGTATGTCTTGGGTCGAAGGAGTAGCAACATTGTCGCTAACAATTGTACAGCATATTTTGCACCAGCGCTTGCAGATCTCTAGTCGCCACTGCCTCTCAGTCCCTGGTTCGCCTTCAATACTCCAAATGCAGTACTGGCCCGCTAGAAAGTTCAGCTGAGCGAAAATGAATGACTTACCAGACCTACCAAACCCATACAACTCCTGCACTACGGCCATTGCCACGTGGGCCTCACAGCACCCCTTAAACCGGGCCTGATGGAATCCCAACTATCACCACCTTCCCGTGACACCACCAGGTGACGATCCCCCATTACCCAGCACCGGACAGCACGGGACAATACTTTCGTGGGTGAGTGTACGAGCATGGAAAGCCGGATCGATTCAAACACCCCACATCGACTAGAACAGACTTGCGAGTCAGAGTGAAGACAAAGGCAAGAGAGAGGAGAGATCGAACAGCAACCAGAAACCTGCAAGGGCAGGTCCAAAGCATGATGTGCAAATGTGTAGCGGTGTTGCGAATTACAAGTGGAGCAAAAGCAATAAACAAAGCTCCATTATATTGACAAGCGTGCGTTTTCAGAAAACGACAATAAAAATGGTTAGCGCAGAATACGAAGCAAACAGTTGTGATCGAGCACTTGCCTGTTCAGAGAGTGGTACGGGGCAGCGAGTGGTGGTGCAGCAGTATTGTGAGAAGAATAGTTGGTGAGTTTGCACGGCTGATGCAACAGGTGAATACCACGAAAGAGAGGGTGTGCAAATATGCGAACAGAGGGAGTATTACATGTAGTGAGATTTTATTTGCAGGACAAGGAGGAGAAGGAGTTTTGGAGAGGGCGAAATCTGGCCTGCTTTTATGAGTCAGGAGTGGTTTTTCTTCTCCCTGTTTCTCCTCACTCTCGCGGGGCCAAAGTTCCACTGTAGGCGGCTCATGACAAGAATCTGCGCCGATGAGGAAAACCTAAAAATATATTTAGGAGCTGCCTTGAACAATGGCAGCACATCGCGCGGCAGTATATGTTGCAGCAAAATGTTTACAAATTTGGAATGTAGGTCGTTTTAGCAATATATCTGGCTCTGGTAAAAAGGTATGATGGCCATTGTTTGCCATGACTGTGCCCCAACAGGGGGTACGCAGCTCACCATGTGGATTTGAAACAAGAGGCTTTCTCACTCACTCTCACACTCACGCTCTCAAAGATGGCCAGATACTAAACCATACGCAGCCAGGCCAGGAACTGGCAAAAGCAGCATGCTAGAGCTGCTGTCGAAGATGACAACTTAGGAATGCGCCTGTTCCTAATGCCACCAACGAGTGTGTTTATAAGCCCACTGGATTCAGCGAAATGCCTCGGCTCCTCCTCCCGACAACACTTTTCTTCTGCTCTAGTCGCCTTTCTTCCAATATCTCCTGTGTCTCACCTCAAGCATATTGGTTTATTCAAGCTCCCACTTTTTCGTTTCAGCTCTCATTCCTTCATTTTCCTGCAATGGAGTCTATTGCACAACGCCCTCCTATTATTATTTTGGACCGTATTATTTATTACCTTAAGCCCAGAAAATCCATACGTGTTGGTCAGCATGGTCTGAAACCAGCATATGCGATCCTAATGCCAGTGTCTCATGTTTGCCAGTCATGGAGACAAACCTCCCTCGGCCATATATTCCGCTGTGTTTATGTAGGCACCAATACCCAGCCGTCACTTAACTGGGCTCATAAACTTGGTGCTTGTGACCTGATTAAGGGAATCACGATTAAACTTCAAACGAACAACATATTCCAGAATCCAGAAGCAGCCCTGTTAAGGCAGCATGTACCAAGCGACCTCACGCTGCCAAGCATTAGAAGTCTCACTTTCATCTTTAACGGAACGTCTAGCAGGGTAAACCCCCAATCAGCTAAACTACATTCACGCCAATTCGGTGATGAACTATTCCGCATATTTCCATCCATTTCGCACATTGTAGTGAAGTACAGCTGGGATCTCTCGCGCTATATTATTCCTTCTTATATAGTCGATCTCTTAAAACGTCTGTTCGCTGGAAGAGCTGCCATTACTGCTGGCGGGAATTGTCTGTCCTATGTACTTCCATTCCCTGTAGATACCACTCCCTTGCAGAGCTTCGTCGCCTCTGCATGTGGTAAAATGGAAAATACTTTTGCACTTATCCGTCAAAACTCGCAGTCTCTACAACAACTACGCCTAAGGCTGAGTGAGGCTGTTCTGATCAGACGCATCGTGGCTGACAGCGACGGTTCAGTGGTTGTGTATCCCAAACTCTATGATCTTCGTTTATGTACTATGGACAATTCCAGGAATGTGGCAGCACGCTCTTCATCTGCGGGCGTGCCATTCCCGGCACTTAAAACTTTGGTTATCCATGGGCGGAATTCATTTTTGGACGACTCCATTCTCCGTGGATCAGAAGATTCGCTTATATTCTTGGATTTGCATGTATGGAACAGTACTATCGAGACACTCATCCGGGCCAATTTACTGGACAAGGGACAGTTTAGGGCACTGGAGTTTTTGAGACTAAGGACTCCAGATTCTAGCCCCAGCACAATTACTGAAGATCATATTTCGGTCATACTCTGTGCTTTTCACCGGACACCAGTGATCGAGGTCAGCAATGGTTTTTATTTTGACTACGCCGTTCTTCAGCCACACATCGACAGGTTTGCCCCAACCCTCCGTGTTCTGGACTTCCGCTTTATGTGGTGCACTCCTGAAGAGATCTATCACTTGATTGGCTCACTACCATTCCTTCGCGAGCTTTTGGTAACATGTATCCGGATTGATGCTTGGTGGGATACGACGGATTTGCCAGATGTGGTCAATTATTATCGACATATGGATCTGGCAAAAAACGACGCCGTCAATCTCATTGGCCATATTTGCCGGGCTATGACCAGTGCTAGCAGTGCAGCTCTACCTGGTTCTCCCATCTCTAAG